TCCTTCTACCACCACCTGTAAACACCCCACCTCTAATTTCCACCTTGGTCAGCTTCTTCAGCCAGATACTTTTACAGGGATTGAGCAACATCTCACTCATGCATACACACCCCTGTACATAATCTGTGTGTGTGTGTGTGTGTGTGTGTGTGTGTGTATGCAATGCCCCACCCGCAGGGATTTCTGAGGACAGCCACTCCACCTCCCAAACATAACCCATTGCGCTGAACTGATCTGTGAAGCCGCAACACGGAGCTCACACAGGTCCATAAGGGTTGGATTTCTCTTTGCAAACACACACATTTACACTCAACAGACACCCCAATTCCACGTTCAGTTACACCCAGGACTCACGTCTTGATCAGACTGACTGATGATGGAATCACCACCCGGCCCTGGACCCACTGACCTTCTATTACGCCTGGCGCCCAAGACTCACCCCTCGACGTGGACGAAATGTCAACAATCTTCGCCGCGGCGCTCACCCCGCCTGCGCGCCCGCAACGCCGCCGGTCTCCATCCGAGTCCAAGCCCCCTCCTCCTCGGCGGCGGGGTTCCCTCGCAGCCCGCCCAGTCGCGTGCGCCGTCACCGCGGCGCGCAAGCGCGCACACCCCGCTCCCGGCCCGGCGCTCGGAACGCACAAAGCGGCGCCCTCCGCCCGCCCGCAGCGCCCCGCGCACCTGGCGGGCGCGCCCCCCAGAGCCGCACACACGCCGCGGGAACGTCAGCGACCCGTTGGAGGCGGGGGTCCGCCGCGGACGGCGCCTACCTGGCTCTTCTGGCCACCCCCTGACCCTCGGCGACGCAGCCGCCGGGTCTGCACCCTGGTCCTGACGGTACCCACCCGGTCTCGTCAAGCGCAGCTGTAGCGCAGCTGCGGGAACGGGGGTGGGACGCGGGAATGGGGGGCGAAGGGGGCACCGGGTAGGGCGCCGGAGGTTGGGGGTGGACTCGAGGGGGTATAGCGGGTCCTGAGCGCCGGCCCGTCGTTGGGGCGCTCGCGTCACCACCGCCAGGAGCCTGCCCAAAGCGGCTTCTCAGGAACAAAGGCTGGGGCGGGGCCGGCGCACCCTAGGGACCCAGAGGGGAAAAGAGGGAACGGCTCACCTGCCCACAGAAGTTCCTGAAGGCCCCAGGGCGGTGGGGAGCTGAGGTGCAGAAAGATTCATGTGTTCCTGTTCTATTTAGGAGGCCACCTGGAGCTGCCCCCCACTCCATGCCGCCCAGCTCTGTTTGGGGTGGGACAGGAAGGGGACAGTGTTACCTGGTCTTGGAAGTGGGAGACCTCAAGGACTGCTAGAACCCCTGAAAATCCCCCTGCCTTACACTTGGCAGCTAGGAACCTTCATTCATTCACTCCTCAGACATACTCCCGGCTTCAGCCAAACCAAGGATATTCCCAAACTTGAAGGGGTTGAAGGACTTAAAGGTCCTCTAGGCAGCTTGTGGGATCCTTTAGTCTCTTCTGTTTTGACCTCCACAGAGGGCAGCCTTGGACAGCTCAGTGCACCCCAGTGACAGGACGTGCCCCTCAGGGGCAGCCCACTCCATCCTCAGGCAGCTCTAAGTGCTAGAATGCCATTCCTTTAACTGTAAGGAAATCTGCCTTGCTTTTCTCTTGGCCTCATTCTGCTCTGGCCACAATGGCCTGCTTGTAGAACATCCCTAAGCCTCCATACTTGCTATTCCCTCTGCGGAAATACCTTCCACCCCATCTCCTGTGCCTACTCAGCACCCCTCGCTAGCAGCTTTTCCAAATAGCTGCTTGCTTGTACCCTTCAGGACTCAGCTTAAATGTCACCTCAGAGAGGCCTTCTACCTCTTCCAGAGTCCCTGCATACCCCCTGGTCACTCTCTCTCAAGGCCCTGTTTTAGGCTATTAGTTTCTTCAGCACTCTGGATTCTCTTGTCTATGTGTCTATAGTCTGCCTCTCACAAGCATAGGTGTCCCATGGAAGCAGGGCCCTGCCTGCCTTGAGACAAGGCACTGTAAGCCCAGGGTCTGACCCAGAGTAGGGCGGAAAGAAGAAAGGCAGGTGGCTTCCTAAAGGCAAGAGTCCATGGTCCAAGTTCCTCAAACAACCTGGTGCATCACCCTCATGTGCAATCTATTCAATGTTCAAAGACAACATCTGGATAGTGTCTGGCAGAGGAAAGGTGCCCAGTCCACCAGATGAATGAAGGAATATTCCTCATAGACCTAAAGACTTAGAACAACAGAACCTTCCATTCCCCCCATCCTAGTTCTTCCAACCCCAAGATGCAAGCATTTTCTTGAAACCTGCAACATGGACCCAAACCCAAGCTTCTAGTCAAACGAAACCCCCCACTAGCTCTAATATCCTTGCCCTGTTCTCTAGGTGTAAACAGGATTGGAAGACCAAATAAAATTCTCCTTTATCCCTGTAAAATTGTACCCACTGGCACTCACAGACATTTGGGGTTCCAATCCTGCCTTCCTGCTTGTTGGGATGGTGACCAGGTTCCTGCCATCATCAATATCACCAGCATGCTGTCTCCATCATCCTCATCAAGTCACTGATATACACACTGAGCAGCCAATGGCAGCCCACTATGAGCCCCCTTAGTGGCACCTTCCCCCAGCCTGCATACTTCTGTGGAGCCTGCAAGGATTCAGTGGGATGGAAAGAACAATTTCTTGCTGAAACTCAGAACAACTGACTTCTGCTACACCACCTCTTTCCAGCCTGGAAATTCACCAATAAAGCAAATTAGCAGAGTGGGGTCTCAGGGAATTCACTCAACTACTGTTGATCATTTCCCTCTTCCTTTTCTAAGTACCCAAACCATCTCGTTAAGAACACACTCCACAACTGAACCAGGATGGAGGTTGAGTTCACTTATTTATGGTTTGTCAATTTGTTTCCTCTCTGTAAAGATAAAAGTTACCTTCCCCATCTCCCTCCTTTGGACACAAGCCTCATTCTCTAAAAAGCAGTGTATGCAGAGATTGCAAACACTGCCACTTTCTAGCTGTTGTTTAATCTGTGTGTCTCAGTTTTGCCATCTGAAAAATGGAAACCAATAGTGCCTAGATTGGAGACAGCATGCTTATGAAGATTAATTTCTGCCAAACATTTACAACATGATACATAATAAGCACTCAAAAATAACTATTAATATTCTATCACAAAAGTTACTACAGTCACAATGCTGTGGAAGCCTCATCTTCAAGCCCCTGTGATGTAGCCTCCCCAAGTATGAAAGCTGAAGTTATTTCAAATGGCACCATCCCACTTATGGTTGCATCCCTCCTCCACAGACTGGGCCCTGCTCTGTGATCCTAAGTACATTCTTGTTCTTGGGCTCAAAAAAAATAGGAGGTCTTCTAGTAACAAACCACCGACATGATCCCTCCTCTTCTTCCCTTGCTGCAATCTTGAACAGGTGTAATTACTACAGCCTTGGGGCTGAAACTGAATCTGACCATGTGCCCTTTGTGTCCTGATCCCCCTTGGCTCACTAGTGTTCCCAAGATCTCTCTCTCTTCCTGCAAGCATTCTCTACTGTATCCTTAAAATTTCTTTGTTTCACACTTCCTGGCACTCTTGCCTCCAGATCTAGGGGAGTTCCTTTCATTTCTCTACATTATTTGAAATCCTCCCTCTGGAGTCCAGGGCACTTGTCTGACCATCCATTCCCTGAATACCAAGAGTTCCCACATGACCGAGTCTCCCCTCCCAGGGTTCCTGGCACTTCCACACCATCATCCGATTAATTCTTCCTCATTGAGCAGACCTAGCTCCAGAGTACCTGTCTGCCTCACTGCTTCCTGAACCTTCTGAAACTGCCCGTGAAACAAGATGCCCTTAGCGAAATAGGATTCTTGGTACATATCTGGGGGCTGAATCTCTCATCACTTCTGAACTTTATTCCTGGAGCCAGTTTTGGGAATCAGAGTGAGAGCATCATTCCTATTCTCTTGTTGGCCAGTAATGGTGTACCCTCCAAATGACCACTGCCATCATCCTCTTTCACTCAGCCATCCCTGGGAGAGGAGACCTGTTCATTCTTGACTGCAAGGGACTTGCTAATTTAGAAGTTGGTGCAATGAGGTTTTGATGGGATGGTGGAAAAGAAGGTCAGGTCTAGCAGAAGCCTTGAGAAGGGTGTGGTGGCAGCAGGGTCACCCACGATAACTCTGGATAACTCTGTCACGGCTGCTAACACTGGCCACACCTGTCCACGGGGCAGAGGAAGAGTGGGTACGAGACTGGGAAGAGGATTGGGCCAGGAAAAGCCCTGGTCTCCCAGCCCCCCAGGATCCCTGCAGGCATCTCTGGCATGGGGGAGGAGAAAAGAAGCAAGGCTGGCTCCATCCAGGTCAAAGCTCAGCTGCTCAACAAATTTGCCAGACACTATCCCTCTTAAAGAAAATCTTCAGGCAGGGCCTCCCTGGTGGCCCAAAGGGCTGAGACGCAGCACTATGAAGCTATCCACAGCCACTGCAGCATGAGTTCGATCCCCGGCCAGGGAGCTACCCACATGGCACAGCAGACCTCTCCTGTCTCACCTGTTGCTCCCCTCAGCAGTGTATTTCGATTGACCCACCTGTTCTGCTCCCCACGCTGTCTCTGGTGAATCCTCTCACACCCCCCACACCTTTGGCCTGTACCCCAGTTCTTGCATGCATAAATAAATCTTTTTTTAAAAAAAAAAAAAGATCTCCAGGCATCATTTCACTTGAGATTTGTGATCTTCTTGAAAAATGGCAGGGAATATATGATCAAACTCATTTTACAGAAGAGTAGATACAATAAGTCACCTCAAATCACTCAGCACCTCCTAGGCTGGAGAAGCACCCAGGCCAACAAACTTTCCAGGAACCTCTCCATGAACAAGGCAATGGTACTCCCTGTGAGTTTATGGAATAGTGTGGAACCAGCCGCGTAAGTACCACTGTGGGGGTGGGGAGTTTGTTCAGAGGGCACCTGGGCCTCAGAAGAATGACCGACAGTAAGGGCAGTGGGTCCCTTACCTGGAGGGAGACTCAAGGTCAGCACGGCTGAGGATGCGGTGCTGCTGTGGGCTGTAGAGCCACTGGAAGGCTGTCAGCGTCCTCTCCTCGATTCGGAACCTTCCTTCCTGCACGTACCTGTGGGCAGGACAGGAGAGGATGAGGGGGTGGGTCTGCAGAGCTCTTTGGGGAGTTAGCCTGCATAAAAAAGATAGATGGGGCCTCCCCGGTGGCGCAGCGGTTGAGCGCTAGGTTGTGAAGCTGCCCGCAGCCTCTGCAGTGCCGGTTCAATCCCCGGCTGCTAGGCAAGAGTCCCACATGGTGCGCAGACCTCTCCTGCTGCCCACTGCTCCCCTCAGCAGTGTACTTCATCAATCTGCCTGCTCTGCTCTCTGCTCTCTGCTCTGGCTCTGGTGAATTCTCTCACCGTCCCACACTTCTGACAACCCAGTGCTTGTATAAATAAATAAATAAATCTTAAAAAAAAAAAAAAGAAAAGATAGATGAAGGGTACCTGTCGCCAAGGAGCCTCCCTGCTCATCTGCCAGAAAACCCTGTTTCCAGCGAGTCACAGTTAAATTCCCTGAAGGGGATGCAGCTATAGAGAGCAGGTTTCAACTCAATAGATGGAAAGCTTTCTAAAAATTACTTGTCTGGAGGCCTCCCTGGTGGCACAAGGGGTTAAGCACCGCACTATGAAGCAATCCATAGCCTCTGCAGCATGAGTTCGATCCCCAGCCTGCCAGAGAGAAACCCACATGGCGCAGCAAACCTCTCCTGTCTTGCCCTCAGCTCCCCTCAGCAGTGTATTTCAGTCAGTCTGCCTGTTCTGTTCCCCACTCTATCTCTAGTGAATCCTGTCACCCTCTGCATCTTTGGCCTATACCCCAGCTCTTATATGCATAAATAAATAAATCTTTAGAAAATAAATAAATAAAAATTACTTGTCTGAAGCTGGAAGGGGTCATGTGGAAGGGGTGTGTTCTCTGTCATTGGAAATATGTAAGCAGAGAGTAGGAAGGGGATTCAAACATCAGATGAGGGGCCATTCTCCAAGTCTCTATGGGACTGAATACTGGACTTCTTGACTTCACAGCCCAAGAAGGACTGCTCTGGAGTGGGGTCATGGGTCAGATGTTAGGATGAAGGTTTCCTAAAGGTCCCTCACAGGATCCCAGTCACCCTCCAAATAGACAGTAACCCTGAAGTAAATGATCAGAGAAACTGGGCTTCCCTGGTGAACACAAAGGACCCCTCCCATTCTGGCCACTCTTCTGGTTAGAACCATAAGTCCATTCATTAATTCAGTATTCATTGAGTACCTATGATGATGAGCAAATGAGAGAAATAACCCCTACCCTTCTAGAGTTTACAGTCTTGTGGTAAGAGAAACCAGCACATAATCTCATGCATGCACGTAGGCTGCGTTCTCAACAGGCCCCCTCATACATTACCAGTGGGAGTGTCAACTGGCACAATCCCCTCTGCAGACAAACTGATGTCTGTCTAAATTACAAAAGCAGTTCCCTGTAGCCCAGCCATCCCCTTTCAGAGAGTTTATCTACAGATCCTAGCATATGGACAAGGTTATCAATGACACTGTTTAAAATAGCAAAAGACTGGGAACAACCCAAATACCCATCAATAGGGAACTGGTTAGCTAAATTATGGTGCATCCATATAGTAAAACAGTGTGCAACCATTTGAAAAATGCTGTAAATGAGGGTTCCCTGTGTGCGATCATGCAGAGATCTCTAAGACACGCTGTTAAGAGAAAAAAACAAGTGTAAAAAGAGCAGTATGAGTAATTTATGTTAAGGGGTGGTGGAGGGAATACAATATGAATTCATTTTTGCTTATCTTTACTATAGAAACCCTGGAGATACAAAAGCTAATAAAAGAAGTTACCTAGGTGAGGGGAAGGAGGAACTGGGTGAATAGGGGCATGGGAGAGTGACTCTTTAACAATGTATCTTTTCATACAGAGAGGTATTATCTCTTCCAAATGTTTAATGTATGCTTCTGTATGAAATTACAAACTGCATGAAGTTGTATGATAAAAATGTGCAGCTGCTCTGATGTTGCAGGGCAGGGAGGGAGGGAACACAGACTATCTGCTAGGGGAGGAAATTTCCAGGAAGGCAGGGTTGCTGGAAGCAGAGCAGCGTGCTCCTGTAGCCTTCCAACCAGAGCACTGTCCCCCATAACTTCACTCTCCCAAGCGTGGCTTGATGGGCATTTCGGGACGGTCACCTCGCTGCTGGGTAGGAACTGGCAGGGCAGTCAGAAAAGAGGCTCTTTGAGGGGTCCAGGTGGGACAGAGGTGGTTAGTCTAGGAAGATGGTGCCGGGATGGAGAGAAATGGGAAGACTCTCAAAGAGCTAAGGAGGTAGCATTGGGTAGACCTGGCGAGGGATTGGACATGATGAGGGGGAGACTGACAGCAAAGCTTTTCCCGAGTTCCTAATTGGTGCTGATAGCTGACTGCAGTGTCATTCACACGGCACAACAAAGCTGCACTGCAGCTTTGGGAGGGAAGGTCATGATGCTGATCTGGGGCACTACATCCTCTGTGATGTGTTTCCTGCCCCCAGGGTCACTCCCTTCTTACAAAACCTGACTCAAAACTTGGCTCCACCAGGGAGCGTAACCTGATGAAGTCCATCCTATTCTGATGACAAGTTTCCATGCCTTTCCCTGTACCTGGGCTCCTCAGGACTCAGCCCTGAATGACAAGTCATGGGAAAACCAAAGTCACTCCATCTTGGATCAACAGCATCTTAGGAAGACAGCCGATTTCTCCGTTATTTCGTTCATTTTAAGTATAACGATCTATACACAACTCTACTAATCTCAGTAGAACAGAGACACACGTGCTATGTGCCCCCAGACTTACACAAGAAAGGTCACATGTACTAATCAAGGGCTAAGAAAACCCCTGTTGGAGTGGTAGGTGTGGCTCTTGCCTCAACCAGAAGCCCCATCCACCAGCCTCAGCATGGGGACCCCTGCGTGTAACTAAGTTGCCCTTAATAAACCTTAAGTACAATTAATCAACTTGCCTGCCTCATTCTTTGGACTCAAATTACCTCCTCAGCTTGGGGGAACTTAGTCACTCCTGCAGCGACACTCTCCCTCACTCTTGCCATCTCTGTGGGAGAAAGTGCTAAGACCAGTTGCCTGCAAGGAGAGGAACTGAGTGACTGGGAAGCATTGTAGCTGCTGTAGTGCTGTTTTGATTTGATATGAATTTACTGTTTTCAAAAAGTAAATCTTCTTATTTTTATTTAGGAACTCTACTTATCATGAAGTCTTAGGTCTTAAGGATGAAAAACAATGCCAAAAAGTTCCTTATCTAGTCTGAAGCTTTATTCTACAGATGAAGACGTGAGGCACAGAGCAGGCACAGGGCTTGCCCAAAGATGCTGGCAGAGCCATGGCCTGATAGTGATGTCCCCTTAGCCCCAGGATGATAGCCCACAATAGGGTGTCCTTACGCCCACCAGGCATGCATAGGCCCCCAAATCGAAGGAGGAATAGGTGCACTGAGGAACCATCCCCACCCTATCCTCTCCTCACCCAAATACTCACCCCTGCGTCTGTGCAGAATGTAAAAACAGCCTCAGCTGCAAGCCCCCATCTCCCTTCACCCTCATCTCCCAGAGGCAGGTAGAAAGGACTGTCCTCCACTCTGCCAGCACCTTGACCTGGATTCGACGTGCCAGTTATAGGTGAGGGATTTACAGATCACTCCTCTATAATAACAGCCACCTTGAAGGACTGTTGCAAGGATTAAATGAGATCATTTAAGGAGAGGTCTTACTGCATGGTCATCATTTTGCCTGTCCTCCCCCCATTCTCATCAGCCTTCACTTCTTATCAGTCTTACATAACTCACTGATGACAGACAAAGCCACTTCAAACCCCTTGCAACTGGTTGATCACATTTTAGAGAGGAGGAAAACGGCAGTGAACCTGCCCTAGGGCACACAGACAGGAAGCAGGAGAGAGTGGCCTTCCTAGTACATTCAAGTGCTGGCACCCGATTTCCTCCTAACCAGTCCCTACACACACACCTTCCTCAACATCAGCCCCTACTTCCCAACATAGATCTTGTCAACTCCTCCCCGACCCAAAAATGTTAGTGTTTTCCCACTGCATATCAAATATTATACAAACTGCTCACTTTAGATGTCTAATTCTTCCCCATTCTGTTCCCTTGCAGGTTTCCCACCATTACATATGGCCACGCCCTCGCCATCCATGTGTTCAGACCCAGCATTCCTGATCTGTTTGTTCTTCTCCAAAATTGCCCTGCCTTTTCTGACCTTGGAGCCTTTGCTCAGTCTGTGCTCTGAGCTGAACTACACTCTCTCCATCTCCACCCAAACCTGCCACCCTGTCCCAACAGTCAAACCACAGTGTCTAAGAATCTGTACCCATGGGCCTCCCTGGTGGCGCAGGGGTTAAAGTCTCAGCACTCAGCCTCCCTGGTGGCCTTGACCCTTGACGAGCGGTGGTTGAGCTCTGGGCTGCGAAGCTGCCCGCAGCCTCTGCAGTGCCCTTTTGATCCCAGGCATTCTGGCGTCCCACATAACACACATACCTCTCCTGCTGCGCCCGCTGCTCCCCTCAGCAGTGTATTTCATCAGTCTGCCTGTTCTGCTCCCCGCTCAGGCTCTGGTGAATTCTCTCACCCTCCCATGCTTCTGACTGTACCCAGTGCTTGTATAAATAAATAAATAAATCTTTAAAAATAAATAAATAAAGCCTCAGCACTATCAAGCTATTGCCAGCCACTGCAGCATGGGTTCAATCCCCGGCCAGGGAGCTGACCCACATGGCACAGGAGACTTCTCTTGTTTCACCTGCTGCTCCCCTCAGTAGTGTATTTCAGTAGATCTGCCTGTACTGCTCCCCACTCTGTCTCTGGTGAATCTTCTCACCCCCCACACCTCTGGCCCACACCCAGTTCTTGTATGCATAAATAACTAAAATAAATCTTAAATAAAGAATCTGTACCCAACCCCCCAGCCACGATCCAGGTCAGCTCCAAGGTTCTGGGTCTGCTTTGCTTAACCTTGTTCACAACATTGCTCCCTGCCCCACTGTGCATGAGTTATTTATGTTCCAGTCTG